GGCATGTTCTCTTGTGGCTAATGAGTTGTGCATTTTCAGATATGTGCAGTTCTTAAGTGGCCTTCTGTCTGGATCTGTGAAAATGAACACCACCCCGCTCTTCCTACACTTTGTCATCATTCATGGCATCCCAAGCTTTGATGCTGGAGGAGGTGAAGTATTTTTACACAATGAGTTTTATCAGGGACAAGAAAACTGGTTCTGTGTGCGCATACCATGCGGCAGGATCCTTGCCTCCTCAATAGCTTTGTTCCCTTTGCACAGGAGACTAAGTCTAGCTATTCACCATTGATATCAGGAAGAGCCTCTTCCTGGTCAAACAATGAAAAAAGAGGCAGGGAACTTCCTATAACCCCTTCAGGTCTCATTCAGCAAGACCCTATTGCTGGGTGTCTGTGATCTTAGATATTTTAAACTTTCTAAGGCTTGCACCACAGCAAGAAGACACTAGAGGAGCAAGAGCAGGTCATGCTTCTTTATACCTACGGCCAAGAAAAATATATTTATGGGTGCTACTTAAATATGGGATCAGAAGTGTAGCTTTGTGGCCTCATTGCTGCTTGGAACTACTAATTTTTTATTACAAAAGAAATAATAAACATATATGATTTTTTTACAATGGTTTTTTACAGTGTGTCGGCCCTTTTTGAAACTGTACCAGGCTATGCAACCCATTTATACATCAGGAATATAGTAAGTATTAGTAACATTATTCCCTGATTTTATTTCCCCATTCTTTCAGTTGCAATAAGAAATCTAATTCCTCTGTTCCTTTCTTCTCCCTCTCTCGCTCTCTTTTTTTTTTTTTTAAAGAAGGTCCACACTTACTTAAACTTCTCTTTTCTTCTCTTTCTTGTTAAGTAGCTTAGGTCCAGAAAATCAAAGCAGGGTTTGCATTGCTATTGAGCCAGCCCAACTACTGAAGGGAGACATTATGGTAAGTACTTGATACACATGCCACAAAATTAACTGCATCTACTAGATAATGAGCTAAACACTAGGACAGTGTATCATCATTTTTGCATTCTTGTATAAACAGAATGAGAAAATAGTCTTTAAGCCACCAATAAATAGGCTATTAAGCTAACCTTCTTATGTTTTTATTTTAAGTAAAATTTTTCTTCAAAGTAGGACCATTTTAAGAAAATAAAATATATCATTACCACCAAATAAGATCCATAGCCAGAAGACTATTAGTTTTCAATGTACTTTGAAGTAAATGTTTGACAGGTGTTGAGTTTTGAGGTAGAAGGAGAATCTACCAGCCTTTGAATACCTTCAGCACCCACACATACATAACAAACACTTTTTGTATAATACACAGTGTCTGCATGTGAGATATGCAAAATACAGTTATATCATTTATAAAGCCACTAATTTTTCACTTGCTTACAATATTCTGAAAAGAAAGCAGATATACAAATAAAATAAAGAAGAAATCGAATCAAGAAAAAAACCAAGTCTGTATATCTTCCAAACATTTTCCATTGAATATACCCTAAGGGGAGTGGTAAGACCACAATAAAATTCTCTTACATGAATTTTCCTCCCATCCCCTGCACTGCCAGTGTATTTCAGAATTTTTTTCATTTTTTTCTGAAAAACATTAGAAATGAAATATAAGGAACATTTTTTTCCTCTCTTCCCCTCCATTTATTTTTTATTTCTTTTCCTTCACTCTCTCTTTCTTTTTTTACTCTCTGCACCACTTCCACTGGAAAGTGAAAGAGAGAATTTCTAAGTCCTACACTAAAGTGTCCACTGCTAGGAGTATGTGCGTCACTGCCTAGGTTTAGAAGGGTAGAGGAAAAAGGCAATAACCAACTTCCATTTGAATTTCTTTGTTTATTGGTTTGTTATACTAATAATAATGTGTGAAAGTCTGTATATGAAAATAACCCCACCTATCTCTTTCAGAAGGCTTTTAATCTCAAACCTCTTTGCAAAAGAGGGCAATATAATTATCCCCATGCTGTTATAGGAGGCCATTTTCTGAGCAAACCAGTGCCTTATTCTATATTATTTCTTAAACAGAAGTATTAACTCTAATTATGAATATTAAGATACAAACTAAGCCATCAGTGGCTTCAGAAAATGAAGCTTGGAGCTCGCGCGCTGGGCAGCAGAGAGGCGGTGGTGGCAACACTGCCCGGCATGGCAAGCGAGGGGGCTGCAGCTGCTGCCAACATGCGCAGCCCCAACAGGCAAGCCTGGAGCTGGCGCAGGGCCCAGACTGGCAGTGGGAGCGGGTTACAAGCTGGTGCTTAGTGTGGGAAAAGTGGCCCATCGCCTGCCCGATGACCAGTGCCCCATGCTGCATCCACTCGCAGCCTGCGTGGGACTGCCTGTGCCTGGTCAGGACAGCCCCACACAGGCTACGAGCAGCTGCATCAGGGAGCACCGGCCACAGAGTGGGGCAGGGACCGCTTTTCCCCACACTCAGCACCAGCTCGTCCCCTGCCAGGGAACAGGGGGTCGGGGTTGTGTGCTGCCCCCCACCTGTACCGCGGGGCTGGGAGGCACTGGGAGTGAGCTGATGCATGGGTCCCACAGCGGTGTCCCAGGGCCAGCGCCAGCAGGGCCCAGAGCGGGGCGGCTGGAGTACAGGGTCTTGGCTGGCGGCAGCTCTATGGAGCTGGGCCATCCTCCCCCTCTCCCTGCTGGTGCAGCCCAGCCCGGCTCCACAGACCCCTGCCAGCCTGTGCCCCACTCTGGGCCCTGCTGTTGCTGGCCCTGAGACATTGGTCCCAAGACATTGGGACATTGGTCCCAAGATGGTGACCGGGGGGCAGGGCACATGTCAAAGGGCGGGGCTACCCATGCAACCCTCAACAGCTTGCCGAAACTGGGTAAGTGGCCCTCCGTCCGAAATAATTCCCCGCCGCGATCTAATAGGATCAACAGCATACATTTTCTCAGTTGATCTCCAGTTGAAAATTGGCAACCAAAACCACAGTCTCTGTACTAAAGCCAGACTCATTGAGGTCCAGGAATATAACTGCATACAGATACACCTGGAGCTGTCTGGTGACCATGCATTCTATGACCTTCCCCAAAAAACAGGAAGTTGGAATTGGGGCCATAGTCAGCTTAGGGAGTTTGCATCAGGAGATGCTTTTTTGAGTATGGGCTAGGCAGTTTCAGATTTAGGGACATCTAGTGCCTTGCCCTCCAGAAGGGGGATATTTACAACCCTGACAGCAGTGGCATTGGTCTTGTCCAACTGGCATTTACAAGCCAAGATGGGAACAGACCCAGTTCATAACTGGTTTTCCACATCCCCCACGGTACCCGCCCCCCCAGCACATCCTCTACAGTGGTGGGTGATAACAACTGAAACTGGTTCATAGAAACAGACAAGACTGAGCTTCCCCAGCCCCAAAGTTAGACTCTGCAGCTGAATAGGTGATCCCTACGCTGTCCCAGTTATAAACGATTTTGTCTGCAAAGTAGGTGGCAAGCTCATTACAATGGACCGCAGATGGTTCAGTTTCTGAGACAACCTGGATTAACCAGGTCATTCACCATCCTGAATAGTTCTGCCAGGTGGCACCTCGTAGATGTAACGGCATTAGAAAAGAAACGCTTCTTTGCTGTCACAACTGTCGCAGCATAGTTCTTTGAAAAGGATCTGTGCTGTAATTGATCAGGTTTGACCACCTGTGCTTGGGCAGCCTACCTTCCTCGTTCAGCTGTCTGTATACCAGGAAGACCTGTGCTGCTAGTTGTGGGAGTGGATGCCCAGGTGCCTCTGTGTCTGTGGCCAAGGTGAGAGTGTTATTTCACAGTTCAATCAGGTCATCGACTGAGTGACCATCAAAGTTGGAGGAAACATCCCCCAGGATGTTCTGGAGTTCCACCAGCTGCTAGCATCTCTGGGGGAGACCAGCGTAACTGGTAGCACCACCCTGACAGGGACATTAGAGGACAGGGATCTGGAGCTGTGCCTTTAGAAGGTAGAGGGGTGACTGTGATAGAGGTGTCTTAACAACACCCCCCAGTGGCTGGAACCCCTATTTCCAGTCAGACGCAAAAAATTAAGCCTAATGTGTGTGTCACTTCATGTATCAGCCCTGAAATCTTGCTCTGGCTTTGAAGAGTCGGTCTTAACTTGCATGTCAGTCAGCCAAGATGATAAGTCTGGATATTCTCAACACCACTTCTGAGACCAGCTCAGGTAGTTCAGTCAGGATCTGTTGTGCTACAAGGTGGTTGATACACTAACAGAATCCCCAATCTATCCCTGGTCCTGAACACAAGGGAAACACATGCTCCATATTAGGCATCAAATATCATTTTATTAACCAGATTTTCTTTTCTTTTGGACCACTGTCCCTCTCCCTCCTTCCCCCCCACCCCTCTCTTCATCTTCCTTGTCCTTCTGACCTTGGATCCCGGATGATGCTGTACCACATGACAGACAGGCCTGCACTATCTGGGTAAAGTCAGCCCTAGTGCAGTATTTATCCAGGCATCATCTTGAGAGATCAAAGATGACTGATGATTTATCAACCACTGACCTCATATTAAACAGCAAAAGCAGTGCTAGCCATAACCCCTGTACACTCAGAGACAGAGGAGGGGAAGGACAGGGGAACAGGCACTTCCCCCTGCCATATCTCCCACTGCATAGCATGACCCTGATAGGCACAGTTGCCACCCTAGTCATTCATTCCCAGTTCTTATCACCTTCCTCTGGCCATTCAATCCCATCGTCTCCCCAGGGCTGACAGTCCACATGGACCCAGTTTCATTGGGGAAAGCTAGGGGAGATGTCTTAAACCCGCACCGTGGACACAGATTGGACAGGCAAACAAATGGAGAAAAATCCTACTCCAGCCTGTAGATTTCTTTGCTGCCTCTCACGCAGGAGAGCATCCTCCACTCACCTAGCCCAGGCTTGCTTTTCAACCCCTCATTCAAATTCTCCATTAAATAAACTATTCAGTACACATTCCCTCCCATCCCCCCACTCCAACACTCACCCAGAGAAATCTCTTCCCACTTCCTCTAACATCCCTCCCAAAACTGTACCTCTCTGTCACAGGGTGACTCTGTACCTGGCTGTCCCTAAAGTTACCCCCACCCCCATTTCCCCCAACAAATATATTATTATATAATGACTTGTCTCATGCAGAAAATTTTAAAGGCAGTATTTTAATAAATAATGCACAGGAACGTGAGAGAAATTCAGAAATGCTCCTCTGTTCTTGTGGGAAAACTGCCTTGGCATACATAAATGTGCATAGATACATCTCAGCATATGTCCTTGTCTCATAGTTCTTCTATATCCAGGCCCCAAGGTCATTGTTTCAAGATCTGCGATTTAATTTAGGCTTTACATAAAGATCATACGTAAAACTAAGTCATGCCAAAAGATGGTTCTATTTTCTGTCTCTTATTCCTTTGCTAAATAAAAGTTCCAGATCAAATTAGTTCATTTTATATAAGCTATTACTGATTATAAACAGCTGCTGATTTGCATACATCATCTTCTCATGGCATAATTAGTTTACATCTTTCTAAGTGCTTTGGATATCTGGAGTTAGGAAGATGAATTCTGTAGGCTCGTAGTACTCTGTTCAACTCCACAAAATGACTTGAATTAAAGATGGGGAGATCTTCATTCTTCAGTCAGCACAGGATTTTTTTTCCTCATAGCATCTGCTCAAGTGTTTTGTGACCAAATCATGCACTTCCCACCTTTTCTTTGGGGAGAGTATACCAGTTTAATGGATTTGAGTCTAATACTTTTGACGTTTAGCCTGTATATCCTTAGCTGAAATTCAGTCCCCTATGAAAAAATGAACAAGAACTAATTCTTTGCTAGCAGTGGTGAAACGTGTGTATGGGTAAAGTAAGGCATGAATAGAAAGGTTAGATTCAGACAGGCCAACTAGATGCTCTGTTGATGTCTTTTGGCTCTACAATCTGTTA